CTTATGGTTGTCCGAAATAATGAGAATTTCCTATCTGTTTAAAAGCATTATCGTCATATTCCCTCACAGGTATTAAATTACCTTATTCCCTGTCAACTGTTGTCCGTCCAGTTTCGTTTGCATGGAAGATGATAAAGTGTAGTAGAACTCTTTCTGCTGATATTTCCTTTGCGGCCATCTCCAGGATATTGCAGGCCTTTTCGCTAGTTAGATCCTTAAATTTCTGGGCTAATTCACCCTCAGACAGTTCTTCAATAGGCATAGTAGATTTTAGTTTGGCAAACTTAAGCCGGCATAGCTCCTGACCATTTTTACGTTAAGATGTTCTTCCCGACTAGCGTATTGCGTCATTTCAGAATGGGTGGTTGAAGCATTTCAAGTTATTCTAAAAGTAGAAATAAATCAAGAATGTTTATAACCCACCCGTAAATCCGTTTCCTGGGTTAGACTGAAGATGGGTTTGAAAATCTATCACAATTAAATGCATACACTTGCATTAATGTATTTAAGATTTATTTATATGAAGATTATCTATTTTCCATGTAATTAGGGCCCCGCAAGGATTTGCGGGTGCCCTATAGTAATCACTTAGTCTGTCCGTCTGTTTGTCATTCTTCCGTCCACAAATTTTCAGTTTTTTCCTAATTACTTTTTTTATGGTTGCCCAATTAAGATCAAATTTTGTATGATAGTTCAATAAGCAGAAATACATATTTTGATGCTAAGTTTGGTTCTCTGTGTCCCCTGGTTTGGAACTGGGGTGGTGTGGTAGATTCCTTAACTTTATATAAAATGCATTGGCAAAGAGAGATAACTTCTGAAGATGTTCCCATTGTAAACTAAATGCTGCTATGAGTCCCTTGGGATTAAAAAGCTCTCCTCCTGAAGAAAATCTAAAGCATTACGCAGAACTGTTAAGGCATACTATGAGAAATCAACCGAGAATAGACGTGCAAATAAGGGGGACCTGTTTAAAACTGAATTTATTTTGATTTAGCTGTTTTATTATCACAGAACACAAATACTTATTGAAATAGCATAGTATAACCCACTCTGTACTATTTGAAGTTTGGTCCCATCGATGGACAGTCACGTGATGAATGCATGGATTATGTACTGAATGTTGGTCATGAACAAATTTCAATATCGCAAGGGCATACCCTAGTTGAAATTAAAAATTCAAGTTATTATTTGTATCTGCAAGGTTGTGTATATGTTTCCTTGACTTAGGTTTTCAATTATAAAACACCACTGGGTTTTTCTGGTCCTGGACAATATGTAGAAAGTTGTGTATATGTTTCCTTGACTTATGAAAAGAATGTGCTATCTGGAAAAAAAATGTTATCTTTCAATCAATATGTAAATAAAAATTTCTAATGCTGAAAGGGTGACTGCACAATATGAAAATACCATTTCATTATCCCCATCTATAAATTTACCTCTGTTAAAATAAATTTCCCTCTGCTAAAATGTCTATATTTTTCTTCAATTTAGCTTCTATACTCCAAATTGGGTGGTCAGGTTCAAACTTGGTATGGCCAGCTATTAATCATCTATTTATGCAGACCTAGAATTGAACAATAATAAATTTGAATTGTAGTGTTAATTATTTTTTCATTGCTTGCAAAAACCAGAAGTCTCTTTCGAGACTGTAGCTCTACTGGTTTGTACTTATCAAAAACCATTGCACTATTTTATATATCTTTATGTAGTATACCTGTGTGCCAACTTATTATGAAATCAAACTAAAACTGTAGAAGGAGTAGCATTTTAAAGGAATTTCACAGAAAATTTTATTTTTAGTAACCATGGAAATACCGTTCATCGAAATCAAAAACCGATGCACTTTTCTATGTATCTTAGTGTAGTCTACTTGTGTGCCCAGTTATATTGAAATCAGACCAAAACTGAGGAGGAGTAGCGTTTTAAAGGAATTTCACAAAAAAACTATTTTTAGTAACCATGGCAACACCGTTCATCAAAATCAAAAAACGATGCACTTTTCTATGTATCTTAGGGTAGTCTATTTGTGTGCCAAGTTATATTGAAATCAGATCAAAACTGTAGAAGAAGTAGTGTTTTAAAGGAATTTCACGGAAAATTCTATTTTTAGTAACCATGGCAACACTGTTCATCGAAATTCAAAACTGATGCACTATTCTATGTATCTCAGTGTAAACTACTTGTGTGCCAAGTTATATTGAAATCAGACCAAAACTGTAGAAGGAGTAGTGTTTTAAAGGAATTTCACAGAAATTTGTATTTTTAATAACCATGGCAACACTGTTCTTCGAAATCAAAACCCGATGCACTATTCTATGTATCTTAATGTAGTCTACTTGTGTGCCCAGTTATATTGAAATCAGACCAAAACTGTAAAAGGAGTAGCGTTTTTAAGAATTTCACAGAAAATTCTATTTTTAGTAACCATGGCAACACCGTTCATAGAAACTAAAAACTGATGCACTCTTCTATGTATCTTAGTGTAGACTACTTGTGTGCCAAGTTATATTGAAATCAAACCAAAACTGTAGAAGGAGTAGAGTTTTTTAGGAATTTCACAGAAAATTCTTTTTTTAGTAACCATGGCAACACCGTTCATCGAAATTTAAAACCGATGCACTATTCTATGTATCTTAGTGTAGTCTACTTGTGTACCAAGCAATATTGAAATCAGACTAAAATTGGAGGAGGAGTAGCGTTTTGAAAAATTGTTTACAGACAGACGGACGGACGCATTACTATCGCTTAAGCTCTTCTGCTCTCTGACCACTAGAACTAACAACCAGAAGTCTCTGTCGAGACTGTAGCTTTACTGGTTTTACCTATCAAAAACCATTTCACTATTTTATGTATCTTTGTGTATTCTACTTGTGTGCCAACGTATCTCGAAATCAAACTAAAACTGTAGAAGGAGTAGCGTTTTAAAGGAATTTCACAGATAATTCTATTTATAGTAACCATGGTAACACCGTTCATCGAAATCAAAAACCGATGCACTATTCTATGTATCTTAGTGTATACTACTTGTGTGCCAAGTTTTATTGAAATCAGACATAAACTTTAGAAGGTGTAGCATTTTAAAGATATTTCACAGAAAATTCTATTTTTAGTTACCATGGCAACACACTTAAGAAGAAAGTGAAGTTCATCCTCTACTTCGTTCAAATCACAGAAAGTACATATTCTATCTGAAATTGGCTCTCCGCGGTAGCGACCAGTCTCGATACGCAGAGGGAGCACCCCGCACCGGAATTGCACCATTGTAGATCTAACTGGTTTCGGCAAGTCCATAGCAACGTATTGTTCAAGACCGTATTCTTCCTTAAGGACGTTCGATCCTGATATTTTGAGCGTATCTCGCGCAGGTTGTTTATTCATAAAATTAAGCATCATTTTTTGGTTCTAACATTAAAACTGAATTCTACAATGCAAATTAAACTATATTCAATGAAAAAACCGCGATTAAATTCCGTTCAAGTAGAATTAAGCTAGGGACTATATTTTGTGGCGGAAGGTTTTATAGACGAAAATGGTCAGTTTTTTTAAACTTTTTAAACTTAGGCTTTTTAAACCCGCACGTTTCACGGAAGAAAATGCAGCTAAAACAATCCGTCTTTTCCTTAAACTTCAATATGCCAATAAAGGAATTCACGCGGTTAATATTAGTAATATTCTTAATCACAAAAGGGTCCAGTCTTGTATTCCACCATATTTCAAGTTAAAGACTACGCCTTGTATTTCCTACAAATATACATCGACCATTGCTTCCAAACTTTTCAATTACAAAAACACTTTACATGGCCTGGATATCGACTATCTGAAAAATAATCCCCTTCGTGGCATAATCATGTTATTCGCTTCGCGAATGGAATAAGTTTGACGTTGTACACGTTAACGTCATTTTTTGTCTAAGAGAGATTTTATTGATGTTTTGAAGTTTATATTATTATTTACGAATATTTAGTACTTTTGACTTCAGTTCAGGAAATAAAATAACACGAGAGAGAGAGAGAGAGATGGGTCCAATGCTGGATTCATAAAGAATCGTTTATATATATGAAGATTGGGTAGCGAATCAAATAACATGAGTATATATATACAGAGACAACATTTTAAAATTCTATGAAAGGGGAGATTTTCAAACGAAAATGGTTCTTTTAAAACATATAAATTATAAAGAACGTTTAGCGAATCAAATAACATGAGTATATATATACTGACGCAACATTCTTAAAAGCCTCTGAAAGGGGAGATTTTCCCCGGAAAAGGGTTTCTTTGGGGGACATTCAGATAAAAAATGGGGCTTGGTTTTTTTGGGGGGATCATTCTTAAAAATGATCATTTTTCAAATGATTAAAGCAAATTATAGGAAGCGAATCAAATAACATGAGTATATACCGACGCAATTTCTCTCTTTCAATGCTTTTTAATACCATAAATAGAAAAGATATGTATATTAATTAATTAAAAAACATGCTATTTATTCCGTATGAGCAGCAGACAATTAATCAAGTACAATAAAATAAATTTTGCTTTTTATTCCGTAAAATAGTATATCTTAAATTATATCATTTACGTAATAAACGCAATTCTTAAATCTTTGCTTTTTATTCCGTAAAATAGTACATCTTAAATCATATCATTTAAGGAATAAACGAACTTCTTTAAATTTTGCTTTTTATTCCGTGAAGTTGTATATCTTAAATTATATCATTTACGGAATAAACGCAATTAAAATTTTGCAATTTATTCCGTAAAGTTGTATATATTAAATTATATCATTTACGGAATAAACGCAATTCTTAAAATTATCATTTTTTAAAATGATTAAGGCACATTTATTTATTCCGTTTATTTTAGTTCAAATTAATTAATTGATATATATGCTATTTACGGAATAAACGCAATTCTTATACTTATAAAAATTATGCTGCAATTATTCAAACCTTATATATAAATCATTTGCTATTAACTTATTTCATTTTGCTATAAAATGTGATCAAAAATTGGCAAACACTGTTTGTAAACGGAATACTTTTGTTCCATTGAATGTTTCTGAATTTTCAATATTGATACAGAATAAACATCAAATTCATTGAATTGCAAATAGTTTAAACTTTATTACATGAAAATATGTGGCTTTGTTAAAACAAATATATTTATACGGCTTAAATGTTTAATTCCGGTAAATGCTGATTCTTCCTGTTTTTAGTATTTACGCAATACCATTATAACTTCATAGCGTTGATATGATTGGTTGTGTAAAGATTAAATAGCCAATGAAAAGAACGTTTACATTGTTCATCAAGAGAGCAGCCTTTTCCGGCGATGCATTGAAGAGGAAGGACGTGAAATACATCCATGGTTTTAAATCCTCTACCATCCAAGTAAATATACTTTATTGATACCGTTTTATGAAAAAATATTAAATCAATATAACTTTTAAATTATATTTAATGTAATTTAAGATGAATTAAATCAATATCATGTCATTTTCACATGCAAGGCATTGTCCAACAACAAAAACATCGTGTTGCCAAAATCCCCAGACATTACAGGACAAAGTCGTTATCATCTGACCAGACAAAAGCATTCCGGGAGTATGGATTGGAGACTTTTCTCTTTCTTTTGGGAATGGCTGGATCCTTCTCACGGAAATTCGGAGGATGGCAAACTTTATCAGTCCTATGGCGGGTGGTTGGTACGTTATCTTTGAATTTAAAAAATAATGAGATTAATAGCACAAGAAATAGGAATATCGTGTCAATATTACAAAAGTTAACCTTTTTTATTTTCATTTCTGTTTTATAAATGAGTATTGAAACTGAAATTCACTGCTTTCAATAATTATCATTTCAGTATACAGTTTTCTAAGCACAAAAATATAGCAAGAGTTATTTCCCATTGACTAATATTTCCTGAAATTTTTAAAATATATTACTGCAATTTAAAAATGTTATTCTTGTTTTATACAAATAAATACCTTTCTTTGTAGGTGCTCTTTTAGACGTTGCCACATTCTTGACACCTGCTGTTGAAGTAACTTTGCCTCCATCTAACATGTAAGAAGTTAAAAATCATTGAAAAAATACTCTTTACTGCTTGGTACATTTTATTTACATGTATGTGTCTTAAGAATGTGCAGCAAATAGTGATGAAACGATTGTCGCCGACGATCGATTGTCGATCGTTTTTGGGTGTTCGATTTCGATTATCGATTACGTTTTTCATAATCGATTGTCGCCCAAATAAACGCGCCAAAATAAACGTGTACAATTTGAACAAAACAAATTATACGCACGCATTAACAATGCATGTAAAGAAAAGAAAAGAAAAGAGGTCAACAAATATGGCGTCCGAAGACAAAGTTAACAACAATTCGATAGAACATTCTGATATTGTCCTACATTGTACGGACCCAGTTTAACGATGGAATTCATTCTGTGTATTCGTTATGTAGCAAAACAAACACGGGATAACTCGTACATTTACTACGGACAATCTAGAGAGTTCCGAATGTAAACATGGCAGGTATATTTTAAGCGAGAGAAAAACGGTAAAAAAGTAATTGGTTTTTTGTCTTTATATGGATTATTTTTGGGGATAAAAGGCATAAACAATCTTAAAAAGGTTTGTTTTGATTAAATTGGTAGTTATTTCTAGTGCAAATCCTTTTATATTCTTTAAAATCGTTTCGGAATGGATCCGCCCGATTTTCTGCATTGCAAGTTAAGTAGTGTGTATGGGACTTACTAAGTATTCTTACTGTGGTCACTGGTGAGGGGCTGAGGGCTTATATTAATCTAACTTAACAACAACAAGGAGAAATTACCCAAATCCAGAGAATGCAAAATCTGATGTCATGACACACATTTTAAGTTTTCATGAGCAAGTATGTAAAAAAAATTCTGTTTCTTACACAACAAAAAGTTATTAATAAACTTGATAAAATTTTATTTTTAGTTGGTACCATAAATGATAAATGCTATAAGGAAATAGAATTTTGTAATTGAATTATCAAATAAGTCGATGATTGATCGATTAAGCTTCTCCGATTTCGATCAATTATCGATTATGAAATTTCCCCGATTATTCAACACTAGCAGCAAAGTTAAGAAATATTTAATTTTTACTACAGTTGGTAATTAAGGGTACAGAATAATTGTAAAGTGTTTATAAATACCTTCTTTTGCAGGTGCTTTCCCGGACTTGACTGATGCTTCTTTTGTTGAACCCTTTCTTGACTGGCACCTCTTCTCAGTAAGGATTTCGTATGGAAAGTTCCGGAACTGGTTGAAGGCATATCTGCAGCCTCTGCATTTTCTAATTATAAAGGTATTTAATAATAAATAAATAATATCAACATTTCTATTCCATAAAATGTCTATTTCATTACATGGTGTTACTGTTATACATTTGATTTGTAGATATACCTGTAACAGGAGTTAATGTTTTGTCCAGATCGGATCCTTGGATCAGCTCATCCACAACAGAGACTTCTTGGGCCTGTTCTGCTCTTTTCCGAATGGTGTTCTCACTAGCAGTTTGATTTCGTGGAATGGATTCGTAATCGTCAGAATCTGATACAACTGTACGAAGGGAGGAAACCTCTGGCGTACTCATAACTTCTGAATCGCTCTCCGCATCAGTGTTTCCTAAAACCATTTACATTTTTTTCAATATCACAGGGAGTGATTATTTCATTATGTACATAATTTATTAATTTTATTGATCATGAAATCTTTTTAAATTTCATGTTTTCAACAATACTAATAATGTTCTTTGTTAGAATTATACTAACTTTTTCATTACTTTTAATGTTCTACTAATGTTTAAATGTTTACCTGGTCTAATATCCCAGTCTCCCAACTCGCTGGAAGGAACACCAGCCCACGTCTCAAATAGTGGTGTAGTATAATTGTAAGTAGGTTGGGCATTGAGGGGGTATACTGATCTATTATATAATAACATTCTTTAATATTAGAAGTAAAATAATACCTCTCTAGAGTAATATTATTTAATAGAACATAATTAAATAACTTACTTCACAAGATTGAAGAATCCATCATACAGGTGGTATTTCACGTGATTTCTCCACATAATCTCTGCCATGTGACCCTCAAACTGTGAAATTTTAGTACCTGACATTCTCTTGAAGTGCTCTTTTGCATGTTTCCATGCCCCCTCGATACGGTTCGTGTGGATGGACTTCTCTTCACCTGTCTCCGCATTGACATAGGTCTTTTTGAATGCATACTTATGTATGACTGTAAAGTGTTCATATCCCATATCATTTAGTGGCCATGGGCAATATGCCGACCACCCATCGCTGTATATGGAACTCCCAGGCAAACAATGGCGTTGAATGATTGGGAGCAATGTTTCCTCTTTCCTGTCTGCTACGGGGTATAATATAATGGTGTTTGTCTCTCTCTCGACCATTCCGAACACCCAAATCTGAAATGTAAATAGTGTTTATTTATAGCAACCTCTCAGCAAGATATGCTATTTCATTGGCTTTTATAAATGTAGATATTATATACTGTCTAATTCTTCCATTTATGTTTTCCTTCAATTTCTTTAAAATAGAGCAAAATATGCCAACAATGTTTGTTTATTACCTTGATTCGATACTGCAATATTTATAAATTATGTTTGTTTATAATGTTTATTCCATTCTGCAAGATATGCAAATTTGGTTGCTTATTACCTTTAATCCACAGTTGGGATTTCCCCTGTTGTGCTTTACTCGCCGACCGAACAGTGACTCATCGATCTCGATGATACCAGACAGCTGTTTTCTTTTTATGTTGTTGTGGAAGTGTTCCTTAAACAGCTCCCTTATGTAGGAGCCCCAGTGAACAGCTGTCGTGTTATAGGAAACCCCGGAAAAACGCGCGCATTGTCCAAGTGAGCAACCATCAAGATAAGACTTTATAAATAAAATAATGTCCTGAATCGACAAATTGGTTTTCTCAAAAAATGAGTTGGCTCTACAATTTCTCGTGTGAAGTCTGTCTACATTGCATCGGAATATGGAACCACCAGGATTTCGTGACGAGGAGCGTAAATGCATCGTCCCCTCGCAATCGGGGACAACGCAAGGCACTGAGCTAGCTAACAGACCCTGTGTTCTCAACCATTCATACACTAATTCATCGCTCAAAGTCATTAAGGAATAAAAATTCCAGGGGTTTTCCAAATCTGTAGGTGAAAGTTCCATCAAATTATCAGTTTTACGCAATCTGTAATTGCCCCCGCTTTTTCTCGAAGCCATCTGAAATCTAGTGTTACCCGTGCCTTAATGTCCAACCCTTAAATATTACCATTTATTAACCACGTGACCTTGATTTAATCTCACCTAAAGACCAGTTTTGATAGCCCCAAGATATGAAAAAAAAGAAAATATCGATTTCAGAATTTTACACTTTATTTATTTTTCTTATTGCCGTATCTTCTAACTGACCCGTCCAGATATTGGTATTGTCGCATGGCGACGTCCCAAGCATATAATTTAAAGTTTCGTCCATTCTCAAATAATCTGAAATTTATTAATAGTTAAAATTTTACTTGTTGTGTTGTTTACAGTTTAATAATTCACTTTCCTATTAACATTTGTTGTGTTTACCTGTTTCTTTTATTTAATGTATATATGTTGTTATTTGTTGTGTTGTTTACAGTTTAATAATTCACTTTCCTATTAACATTTGTTGTGTTTACCTGTTTCTTTTATTTAATGTATATATGTATATATGTTGTTTAATTATTAACGTTTTCCTTAATGTTTATAATGTTTCGTTGAATTTTATACTAACCTGAACAGTGCTTGGAAATGGTTTCTTGCAGCACGATCTCGCGCAAGATGCATTACATCCACCCCATTCCAAACATAAAACCGGATTTAGTCCATTCACAAAAGCAAATGTAACAATCAGAATTCTCTGGAAGTGTCGGAGATCCGGTGTCCAAAATAATCTTCGTATTAGATAAGGCCATTCTCGGGCTGGACCCACGATGCCCTGTATATTGGACCATAGATGATATATTGTTCTATTCCTCTCTCTGTCCATGGCAAATTTCAAGTGATATTATAAATAGATGTGTTCTTTTATTTATACTAAGATGTGCTTTATTATTAAAATTATCTTGTTTATATTAAAAGTCTTTGTGATTCTTCTTTCATATGATACTGTGGTGTAAAGAGTGTTCACTCGACGACTACCTTCATTGGCCTAGGAGCAGAAGTTGAAAGTGAATATGTACTCAATAAATATCTTGTTAAGGAATTGTCGGTATCAAAATCATGTCTTGAAATGATTAGAGATTAGTAAGTCTATGTGCTATATGTTATTTATTAATTTATCTTCATGGAAGAAAATCAGAACTTGCGGCGGTATATACTCATGTTATTTGATTTGCTCCCTATAATTTGCCTTGATCATTTTAGAAATGATCATTTTAAGAGTGATTCCCCCAAAAAAACCAAGCCCCATTTTTTATCTGACTGTCCCCCAAAGAAACCCTTTTCCGGGGAAAATCTCCCCTTTCAGAGGCTATTAAGAATGTTGCGTCTGTATATATATACTCATGTTATTTGATTCGCTACCTGTTCTTTACATATATATGATCGATACGGTGTAATTCACTGTCTTGTAAGGAAAATCAGAACTTGCGGCGGTATATACTCATGTTATTTGATTCGCTCCCTATAATTTGCCTTGATCATTTGAGAAATGATCATTTTAAGAGTGATCCCCCCAAAAAAACCAAGCCCCATTTTTTATCTTACTGTCCCCCAAAGAAACCCTTTTCCGGGGAAAATCTCCCCTTTCAGAGGCTATTAAGAATGTTGCGTCTGTATATATATACTCATGTTACTTGATTCGCTACCTGTTCTTTACATATATATGATCGATACGATCTAATTCACTGTCTTGTAAGGAAAATCAGAACTTGCGGCGGTATATACTCATGTTATTTGATTCGCTCCCTATAATTTGCCTTGATCATTTGAGAAATGATCATTTTAAGTGTGATCCCCCCAAAAAACCAAGCCCCATTTTTTTACGAATGACCCCAAAAGAAACCCTTTTCCGGGGAAAATCTCCCCTTTCAGAGGCTATTAAGAATGTTGCGTCTGTATATATATACTCATGTTATTTGATTCGCTACCTGTTCTTTACATATATATGATCGATACGGTCTAATTGACTCTCTTGCAAGGAAAATCAGAACTTGCGTCGGTATATACTCATGTCATTTGATTCGCTCCCTATAATTTGTTATAATTATATCATTATTTTAAACCATTCTAATAATGTATTGTTCATTATTGCAGTAAATAATTTAGCCATGTTACTTACCAGACATATACCCCTATAATTGTCTGGTTCTTATTGTCACCTTTTTTGAAAATAGGCAAGATTACAGATGATGACCTTTTAGGAAAAAAACCTGTGTCTAAAATACAGTTAAAAAGTTTATATAACAAGGGAAGTAGATATTCTTGGAATTCAATAAAATATTCATTCAGTATTCCATCTTCACCGTGCGATTTCCCCTGTTTTAAATTACTAATAGCGCTTTTAATTTCTTCTTCACAAATTTCCTTATCTAGTTCTTCAAAAACACATTCACCACCTACATTTGCATCATTCGAGTTACCAGTTTGTTCTATTTGAGTGATATCTTTGAAATGCTCATAAAAATTTTCTTATGAAATTTTTGGAGTTGATTTTGTTCTTTTATTAAATTTGGCAAGAAATTGTCTGGGATTATTTTTCTTCAATAGGTTTAACCTATAACCTTCTGCTTGCTTGTACAATCTTTTTAGTTTTGCTTATTCTTTCTTGTAAATGCTTTTTTTCTTAATCAAATCCGAGTGACTTTGTATATTTTTACAACTATTAAATGTACTTAAAGCTACAATATAATCTCTACAAGTTTTTCCTAAAAAGCATGTCTGACGTGGTTTGCTTAAATTCATAAAGCAGAAATAAATAATATATTATGTTATATAACTTCTTTCGTTCGTTAATATATCTTCAGGAGACCATGCGTAATCAGTATTGTATACAATAATGTACAAAGAACTTTAATTCGAAGCTCCTGGCTCCAGGTGCATGAAACAAACTAAGATTAATCTTAAAATTTGAATCGCCGAAAAAATATTTTATATTCATTTCTTCATATGCACATAACAACATCTCTGTGAAAAAATATTAAATTACCCCTACCTGAGTGAGGCTTTAATAGATTATATTGTGAAAATGCATTATTTCTTTGAAAATCTTCTTCTCTGCTCCCGGGTATTAAATAGACTTCATAGTTATGCTGAGCAAGAGCCTCTTCCAAAATTATGAATTTTATGGCCCCAGAGTCACGGGTTCTAGGGCTAGGGAGGGGCTCTATTGATTAATTAATTAAAATGCATTTATTCTTTGAAAATCTTCTCTGCTTCTGGGTATTAAATAAACAAACTAAGTACATAGAGCTTTATGATGAACATGAGTACCTCTGGTGTTAGTGCGGGGCTCTATTGTCCTTTGAAAATCTTTTCCTTTGCTCCTGGGTTTTATGCCAATGATCCAAGTATATATATTTATAATGCGGAAAGGTGCATCTAGCAAAATGGTTATTTTGTATGTCCCTGTGTCGGGGGGGGGGGGGGGGGGGGGGGTTACAAAGTTGGAAAATAAATTAATGCTTTGAAATCTGCTCTTAGGTATTAATCAACAATTTTATGATAAAATTGGCAAAATTTGAAATACCAGGTATTTGGTCCCAGGGCCAATGGTTCCTTTGTAGTGAGGTGCAAAACTGGTTATAAAGTGGACGTGCATTTTCTCTTTCTTACTCTGATAAACCTCTAGGTATTAAGTGAAAAGAGGAAGTATGCTAAGTTTATAATGATTATAAGCAATGGTGCCTCTTTCAAAATTGTGAATTTCATGGCCTCTGATTTAAAACACGAACCAAATTTAATTGTTTGAAAGTTGTTATACAATACTCAGGTGACCTATAAGGCCCGTGAGCCTCTTGTTATAGAATGAAGATTTTGATCGACTTAGGCTTAGTTTCAAGATCCCGGGTCAGCATTTTTCAAGTAATGTTTTACATGTTAAATGACCTAACTGATTTTTTATTCAATAAACAGAATAAAATGAAGGTTGTTAATGACGAAATCAATGGGAATTAAGATCTTTGATCACTTAATGGGCGCATATAACCCTAACCCTGGCGATAACAATCTTGGCAGAGCGTTACACATGCTGACCATTTTTCCCTGTTGTTCTCTTGACAGCTTTTATTGCTTCTAAAACCATTTGATGTACAATGATTCTCTACATAACACTGTTACGTAATTGATTGATGAAATTCTGAACTGAAGCATCTGGGAAAAGAAACAAGAAGATGCAAACTTATTTACAATGTAATATCTTCCAAAATATAATCGTTGGATAGGAGTGAAGTATACAGTGCAGGGAACTAATTTTGTTACACAAGCCAGGATCAGCATAAGTAGGATCAGGATAGAACTAGCATCAGCATTAGAAAAACAGCATTACTTGGATCAGCATCAGCAAGCAAAGGATAGAACTAGCATTGACTAAAGTGAAAACAGATAAAGGAAAGTCATTTAATACAAATTACTTATAAAAATTACCCCCAAAATTATTTTTAATGGCTTAAAATAGCAAGGCTGTTTTGAATTATCCACTTCCGGCAGGATAATCCAACTTTAGGTAGCATTACTAGCATTGACCTATTTCAAACCAGCATCAGGATAAGGATCAAACCAGGATCAGAATAAGGAAAACTAGCATCAAAATCAGCAAGCAAAGGAGGCATCAAAATCAGCAAGCATAGGAAGCATCAAAATCAGCATTGATGCTGTAACAAATTATTTTCCTGCACTGTACCACTTCAGCAACATACAATTTCTATTTATACAATAAAGAATTAAAAGCGAACTTCGTTGTTGAGACATTTTTTTCTCTGGCACTGTATTATCAGATTTTCAATTTGGGGGATTCATAGACAAAGAGCATCTAAGTTCAATATGTAAAGGTGCATGGGCTGAAAATGTAGTGAAATTACAGATTATAAATTGCGCAGCACAGTTAAGGTAACAGTTAGGAGACGGGGCCTAATTTGTACGGGAAATGTTAA